CTTCTAAGCACTCCTTCAGACAACTGTGGGACCTGTTACTTTAATGAGATACAGATGAGTAAAGAAAAATAAAAGAAAATGTTTCCAAAGTCAGCAGCTGTTTCCCTCTATTCTGCACAGAGAAAGCCCATCTTACTAGCTATCCTCAAGTTACCTTTTGGCTAGATTTCAACTGAATGTAGAACATTATTTTAAGCAGAGCAAAAGCTTGCTACCGAACATGTCTTCCATTAGTTTTTCAGATGGGGAAACAAATTGTTACATGACAAATGCTATTTATTCCACAGATACAAGTATTTACTACATGGGGTAGGGCTGGGGAAGGAGTGAGAGTAAACTGAGGGGTTAGAACTGGAGGAGGCCCAGGTCCGGCCGGCACACGTGTGCACAACTGCTCGCTGATGTCTTGAGCTGTTCCAACATGTGTAAATTAAAGTTCTTTCCCAACCGGTTCTGGGGGCAGTAACCCGAATGTGAGTTTTGACTCTGAGAATGCCGCTCCGCACACTGTTGGGCCCCGCCCAAGCTAAGGGCATCCTTACCACCCAGAGGGGCCTGGAGGTGTGGTCGTCCTTCAGCGGCATCTGCAGCCTGTAGTCCTTAGCTCCATATTCATCCACTTTGGTGCCGGACTCATCCACCTGCTTCCCCGCCGCGGAGGGAACCGCTTCCTGAGGGTCGTTCCCAGGGGCGCCCTCTTCATCATCCTCTTCATCCTCATAGTGCCGCTTCCTGGATTTCTTCTTGTCTGCAAGATACCAACACAGAAGTAAGCCCAGAAGGAGCCTAGGGTTCCCTCCGCACTGTCTGGCAGCATTTCACCTGCGCCGGCGCAAACTCCTAGCTAAGAGCCACCTGCATCCCGCAGGCGTTGCGCCCCTCACCCGCCTCCCCTCGGCCGAGTTCTCTGGGCTGCGCCCAGGTCCAGCATCTCTTCTGCCCAGCGGCCTGTCGCAACCGGTTGCGCGCGCGGCAGGGCCAGCGGGGTCGGCCGGCGCGGGTAAGCCCAGAGCAGCTCCAAAGCAGAGCCGGGGCAGAGTCAGCGAGGGCAGTCGGGGCTGAGCGCGCCCGCGTCACGTCTCACCGCGATCTGCCCGGTCTCTTTTGCCCATGGCAGCTACGGCAACAGAGTGAAGATGGAACCACTACCGCAAGCCTGCCGCTACTTCCGCTCTCAAGTGGACTTCCGGCTCACTCCGGAAGCTTCTTGAGGTCCACACAGGAAATTCCGCCTCTCAGCGCTGTGTTGGCAGGGCGGGATGAGCGTAGAGCCGGCGGCGGCTTAGCGATTATCAGTGTGCCTGCCGCGGGCGTCCTCCACCATTCATTACTCTAATGCTGAAGGAAAATACTGTGTGTTGAGAACATGCGCAGTGCGCGAGTTAAAGGCCTCATCTCCTTGAACGTAAATTCTAATGAAGCGATGTGCGCAAAAATGTGATAAGTGCTTTGAGGAAGACTCAAACAGGGCCTGAGTGAGGGCAGTGCCATGTTGAATGGAGTGGTCAGGGAATCGCTCTCTGTTGGTGACGGTCTTTGAGCAAAAGTCCGAGGAAAGTGAGACGCTGTCCCATGTAAATGCCATCCGAGGAGCAGCAGTCGGGAACGCAGACACCACACACCACACACCTGAGGCCCAGTGTGTCGGGTGTTTGAGAGGAAAGGGGAGCGAGTGGTGGAGGAGAGGGGGCAGCATCAACGTTACATGGAAGCTCGTTATAACTGGTCAGAAAGCGTCCACAAAAAGAATCAAACTCTATGAAGTACTTACTCTGAGCCGAAGATGAGCTACCATGGCAAGAGGCACAGTCTCAAGAGATCCTGAGACCATGTGCCCAAGGTGGGGGGCGGGGTTGCTTCAGGTAGGTCATAGGTGGATTAAAAGATTTTTCTAATAGGCAATTCCTTGAAAGACTTACCCCTCCCACAACAGTGTGGGAGCTGTCCTTCCTTCTCTGTGCAGACTCCATCTCTGGATCCCCTCCCACCGCAACGTGGGAGCTCGATCTCTCTTTTCTTTCTTTCTTTCTCTGCCTAAATAGATCATTTTCTGCAAAAAAAAAAAAAAAAAAAAAAAAAAAAAAGACTTACTATCAAAAAACCTGAAACCAATTGAAAGGAATGTCTGGGAGATCAAGGTTCTTATTATCTCAATCAGGGGTGTCACGTCCAATCATTTGGCTTCCGTGGGTCACATTAGAAAAAGAATTGTCTTAGGCCACATATAAAATACACTAACACCAAGATAGCTGATGAGCTAAAAAAAAGAAAAAAGAAAAGAAATTGCAAGAAAAACTCAATGTTTTAAGAAATTTGTGTTGGGCCACATGTGGGTCACGGGTCAGGCAAGCTTAATGTAGATGAAGTCACATAGGTGACCACCCTGAGAAATAATAGATGATAAATGTTTCCTATCAAACCTTTAAAAGGTGCTAGACTCAGTTAACCTCTTCAGGATTAGGAGGATCTGGAAGAGGAAAGATCTAGGTATGTTAATATTCTTTTTTTAGGAGATAGGATCATACTTTGATGCCCAGGCTGAAGTGAATTGGTATAAGCATAGTTCACTGTAGCCTTGAACTCCTGGGCCCAAGCAATCCCCCCACCTCAGCCTCCCTGGTAGCTGGGACTATAGGCATATTCCACCACACCTGGCTAATTCACTTTTTGTAGAGATGGGGTTTCGCTATGGTGCCCAGGCTGGTCTCAAACCCCTGGCCTCAAGCAGTTCTCCTGCTTCAACCTCCCAAAGTGCTAAGATTACAGGTGTGACCCACCACGACCTGCAGAGATTCTTTAATTTTTTTTTTGTATTTTGTGTTTTTTTCTTGTTTGTTTTTTTCTCGTCATTCTTCATCCGAGATGTTCTTTACAGATGCAAATTTTCCCTCAGAAATGGTTTTACAGGGCCATTTCAAAATACAGTAAAGAAACATATTTTGGTGTAAAATGTTTGTATTTACTTATTTATCTGTCATGTGATGTTATGCCAGAGTTAGGGTGGAAAAGTAATCCACATTATATATAGATAAACTCATCTGATAAGATTTTATGGTTTGTAGGGCATGACTCCAAAGGCCCCTTAGCTAGGCATTTGGGAGCAAAACAAGGGTAGGAGTTTAGTCCCCAAAAAGCAAATGCAAAGTATCTGTCTGCATCCCAGACCTATTGAATAAAAAAATCTGATGGTGAAGCCTAACACTCTTGCCCTTCAGAAGATTCTGACGCTCAAGGCTGAGAACCACTGATGTAAAGCGTTGTAGGTAATGGCAAGAACTTTGGGTTTTATTATGAAATGAGAAACCACTGGAGAGTTTTGAGCAGAAACAATTCCATTTAATACTGCAGGGTCACTCTAGACTAGCTGCTTTGTTGAAGATAGACTTCACAAGGACAAGGGCAGCTATTGTAGAAGTCCAGTTGAGAGACACCTGGCTTTACAAGGTGGTAAGGATTAAGGTGATGAAACTGATTCTATTCTGCATATATTTTGAAGGCAGAGTGGATGGGATTTGCTGGCTGACTTGACCTGGAAAGTAAGAGAGAGGAGTAGAAATAACCCAAGATTACAATCAGGAGAAGGGCAAAAGATAAAACACAAAACTTTTTTGGGCCTGTGCAATGGCAAAACTGAAGATTATTTTGGGGAAGGTACAGGTTTGGAGGATGATTTTGAAGATACCAAATGTAAGTGGCTATATTAATTTGCTCAGGCTGTGGTAGCAAAATACCGCAGACTGCATAAACAGCAGAAATTTATTTTTTTCACAGTTCTGGAGGCTGGAAAGTCCAAGAATAAGGTCTAGCAGGGTTTGGTTCTTGGTGAGGGTCCTCTTCCTAGTTTTCAGATTGCCACCTTCTTGCTATGTCCTCAGATGGCACAGAGTGCTCTGAAGTCTCTTCTTCATCTCATAAGGACATCAGCCCTATTGGATTAGGACCCTGCCCTTACGACCTCTTTTATCCTTTGTGACCTCTTCCCAGGCCCTATCTTCAAATACAGTCATGTAAGAGTTCAACATGAATTTTGGGGAAGTTGCAATTCAATTGAGGGCAATGACGTATTAGACAATCAAATGAAGTGTCAAGAAGGAACTTGGATATCAGTCTGAATTTCAGGAACCTAGAAATACGCATTTGTGAACTGTCAACATATGTATAGTACTGAAGCTATAGAATTGTTTAAGGTTACCTAGGGAATGAGTATAGGATATTTCACAGTGAAGAGGCTAGAAGATGAAGAAGAACTGGACACCACCAGCTGAGGAGCAGTCAGTGAAATAGTAAAATCTGGAGTACTGGCAGTCCTGATTTCATTTTATTTTATTTTAAGGTGGAGGAAGTGACTAGCCGTGTTTGATGCTGCTAATCAGCAGAGTACACTGAAGGCTGAACCTCAGTCACAAGATTTGCAATGTAGAGATCAGTTCTGAATTGGATGACTAGAGTAAATTGAAGATTTGGTGGTCCCTGAACTAAATGAATTTAACTTACTCAGAAGCTGGAGGACCTGTTGATGGCTGTTGTAATACCTCAGTTCTGGTCTTCTTAGTTTAAAAGAATTTAAACAAGATGTCTGGGCGTGGTGGCTAATGGTTGTAATCCCAGCATTTTGGGAGACCAAGGTGGCCAGATCACTTGAGGCCAGGGGTTTAAGACCAGCCTGGGCAACATGGTGAAGAGGCTCAAGCCTGAGAACCACTGATGTAAAGCATTGTAGGCAATGGCAAGAACTTTGGGTTTTATTATGAAATAAGAAACCACTGGAGAGTTTTGAGCAGAAAAATGACAAAAACCATCTCTACAAAAACCGCAAAAAAATAGCCATTCGGCCTGTAGTCCCAGATGTTCAGGAGGCTGAGGTAGCAGGATTGCTTAAGCTTGGGAGGTCAAGGCTGCAGTGAGCTGAGACTGCACCACTGCACTCCAGTCTGGGCAACAGAGGGAGACCCTGTCTCAAAAAAAAAATAAATAAAAAGAAAATTTAATCAGACACAGCAGTGCTTGCCTCGGCAGCATGTGTGCTAAAATTGGAGCAATACAGAGAAGATTAAATGGCCCCTATGCAAGGATGACATGCAAATTCATTAAGCAGTCCATATTTTTAAAAAGACATTTTTTAATAAAAGAAAAAAAGACAGCAAAATAAGTGCAGCATAGACTAATTTATTGCAAAAGAAAATTTTGAAAGTTAGGAGCAGAATAGATAGTACACCCTGGGAGAGAGAAAATTCAGAGCAGCTCCTTGTAAGCTTGAGACAGCAAAGACTGGCACTCCCCTTTACGGGAGTCCCACATGATTATTCATAAGGAGGTGGAGAGAAGTGTTACAAGCATGTCCTCGGTGGTCTTCTGGATGTTTTGGATCTGACAGGTTGGTTATCTGGGTTTTCATATTAGTCATAAGTTGGATTATGTTATTCAATTCATTGGAATATAAGCACAACAATCAATTTTTTATGATGGTACAGGTTCCCACTTGGGCTGCAGTGACTGTATCTAAGACCATAAGGTTTTACACCACAGCTTTCCTCATAAGTGAAATCTCATTGTTTAGTGAAGAGATACTCATGCAGCCATCATTTAACACCTTTGGGTATAATTTGTTAAGGCCTCTATATGCCATATAACATCTTATATACTTCTATATGCCATAGGACATAAATGAAGATTGAAGCTAAGTGTTCATAATATTAGAATACACAACGTGTTCAGCGAGGTCATAAATGAAAAAGGTTTCCTGGTTTGGGCAGGGTCTAAATTACTCATCCTTGTGCCCAAGCATAACCTGGGAACATTGTCCTAACCATCCTGGAGGTAACCATGGCTGTAAGTTAGTGCCACATAGCCAATATGTCCCATTTGGAGCTCACCAATAAATATCTGCTTACTGTACCCAATTGGTAGCACACCAGTCAGTATCTTGCAGTACATTCTCCAGGTTTCCCCTGCATATCTCTTGTACTATGTGGCCACTGGTCCTTGGTGTGATTTCTTTGCTCCCAGCATAAAGGAGCATTTTGGCTGAGTTGGCCAAATGAAGGGGTGAGCCACATAAACCCATCCCAAATTTGCATTATCGCATTTTGAAAATCGGCCATTTTTGGGGGTGTGGTTACCACCATCTCTTTTAGTTGGTGGGATGCTAAAGTAAGAGCTAGTGAGCCAGTCCTTTCTATTGAGAAACTTTTCCCATGTCCCTTGCTCTTAAGAGTGTTTTTAATGGGCCAGTTACATATATTGTCTTTTGTTATGCCAGCACTAAGGATACGAGATGATTTCTGCGATGTAATGAATTTTTGGTATTCTATCCCACCCTGACCTTGGCAGGGGGATACCCACCATGATAGTCTGGAGCCACTGGAAAGAGGCATGAGTCCGCATATCCAGCAGGTGTCCTTTTGTAATCTGTCTGCATAGTCCTGAGCCCATTATAGAAACAGGTTTGTTTCGTGGACAGAAGTGGGTGGCAGTGGCAAGAAGACATGAGGACATAGGATAAATAGAAGCAAGGCTGTAAAATTCATTTTAACTACTAAAAGGATGTTAAATGTGACAAGGCAAATGCCCTTTTCTGCATAAGATAGGCATCGTCAGCGTCGCTAGGATCATAATCATAATGGCTACTATACAATAAACATGGGCATTCTTTTGTATACAGGTCTGGTCCTGTGTCTTGTGTTTAAACAGTGCACAACAACTGTCAGCTGCTTCTAGTCCTGGGCCTTTGGATATCATTTGTTAAAGCCTCACTAAACATTGAAGGTTGATGTTTAGTGAACTAGAGGCGAAGATCCTTCTTGGGAGACACTGTCCACTCAAGAGGTTGTGCCTTTTTAAGATGAGAGATATGAATCCATGAATCTATACCCTCTAATTTTGCAGCACGTGGATTAGTCAATAATACCTTGGTATGGGCCCTTCCATCGAGGTTGAAGGGAGTCCTTTATTAAATGTCTTTTCCAATAGACAAAGTCTCCAGGCCACAGATCATGACAAGAAACCTCGTCTACAGGGAGAGCACTGTGGAAGGAACTCTTTACCAATCTTGGCCTTTTTTAAGATGTTGAATGAATCCCTTACAATATGGCAACATATCTCCCATGAGAAAAATTGGGTTGGTTATATACACAGAGGCCTTCCTATTGTAATTTCGTAAGTGGATAGTTGATGTTTTCCAAAAGGTTTGCCTTGGCGCATAAGCAGCACTGGGGTAGTCTGGGCAGGAGAGATGAAATGCCTCTATGAACCTAGACAATTGTGTTTTATTTATTTATTTATTTTTTAGACGGAGTTTTGCTCTTGTTACCCAGGCTGGAGTGCAATGGCGCGATCTCGGCTCACCACAACCTCCGCCTCTTGGGTTCAGGCAGTTCTCCTGCCTCAGCCTCCTGAGTAGCTGGGATTACAGACACGCGCCACCATGCCCAGCTAATTTTTTGTATTTTTAGTAGAGACAGGGTTTCACCATGTTGACCAGGATGGTCTCGATCTCTTGACCTCGTGATCCACCCACCTCGGCCTCCCAAAATGCTGGGATTACAGGCTTGAGCCACCGCGCCTGGCGACAATTGTGTTTTAATTATTCCATTGGTCCTTTCTGCCAGTCCTGAGGACTGGGGATGCTAGGCACAATGGAAATGTTGAAATCTGGGCCAAATTTTACAGATATTTTGAATAACCTTCCCAGTAAAATGAGTTTCCCTATCACTGTGAAGTTCACAGGGAACTTCCCATAGTGAAATAATTTTTTCTAGTAAGGTTTTTCCAGCTGCCATTGCTGTTGCTTGCCTGCAGGGAAAAATTTCAACCCAATGAGAAAACACGTAGACCATTACTAAAATACACTTGTAATCTTGAGATAATGATAGCAGCTGGCTAAATTCAAGCTTCCATACCTCAAAAGGTCCAGCTGGAAGGGGAAAATGACCCTGGGCCCCATGGAGGGGCTCCCCTAGTTATATTTGGGACAAATAACACATCAGGAGTAAACCTGATGGTTTCCAGTAATATTGTTTACACCAGGATATCATTTTATCTGGATTCCAGTGGGTCAAATTATGAACATATTCCATAAGGAGCACCTTACATCCCAGTGGAATAATTGGGTTTATTATTAGGTCCACACCACATTTCAGTTTTGGGAGACAGGCATCCCATCTGCTTCCAAATGAACTTCTCTTTCGTTGGGGCTGGGCTCTGGGTTTCTTTCAATGTCTCTTTAAGTGTTTTTTGGTTTTATGACCATTTCCTGGGTTGGGGCTGGTGGCTCCAGTGCTGGTCATTTAGCTGTAGCATCAAAAATTGATTGCCCCGACTTTCAGTAATGTGCAATTTAGAGTGACCTGGGATTTTATAATTGCCAAAAGCTTTGGTTTTAAAATACCTTCTACATCTCTGATACTTGTTGTCCTTCAGGGGGTGGAGGGTTGCCCTGAGGAAGTTAAATGTTCTCTCTCCTTTCATAGCATCCCAAAGTCACGAGCAACCCCAAATGGCGAGCAGCTGTCAGTGTAAATGTCTGCAGCCTTGTCTTTTGCCAATTGACAAGCTCGGGTCAGGGCAGTCAATTTAGCCACTTGAGCTGATCTGGCTTGGGGAAGAGGATGGGCTTCAATTACCTAGAGAAAGGAGGTAATTCTGTGCTAACGTTTTCATCCTCTCCTCTTAAATAAGACCCATCTGTATACCATCCTATCTCAGCATTATCTAGTGGCATCTCTTGTAGGTCTGTCCTGGGGGTGAGAAGCTGGTCACTCATCAGAACACAGTCATGAGGGGTTTCCAAGGAAGGGCCCAGCAAGAGAGTGACCAGATTAAGATTATTATAGTGGGGAATAGTAATATTTGGAGGTGATAAAAGCAAAACTTCCTAAGAGGTTAACCAACTAATAAAGAAGCGTTGAGAATAATGAGAGTTTAGAAAGGTCTAAGAGAATGAGATTCAGAAATGGTAAGGGAGGAATCCATAATTATTTCTTCAACAGACTTGTACAGAAGGGCAGTGGCTGATATCGCTCTCACAGAGGAAGGCAGTCCTCAAGCCATGGGGTCCAGCTGTTGGCTATCATAGTCTATAGGTCTCTGATGAGCACCATGTTTCTGGGTCAGTACCCTAGATGTGGTATCTCCAGTTTTTATGTACGAAGAGGGAGAAAGGCAATTTGTAGTTAAGGTGTCCTAAGGCTAAGACATTAGTTATGATTTCCTTTATTTGTTGTACAGATGATTGTCCCTCTGGAGTCCACATGATGTTCCCTTTTTGGGGGTTGGTGGGGGGGAGATTGTTCATTTTTTAGGCATGCATTCAGAGGTTAAGCCATAAGGGAGAAATTCGGTATCCAGTTCCTGCAGTAGCCAGCTGGAGTTGACAGGAAGACTGGGGAGGCTAAAAGGAGATTTTGCCATTACCTGCCCTTTATTCGGGTGTTCTCTCTTCTCATCTAATGTAGCCTTCTCTGTCTCCATTTTACTTTCCTGGTCACAAGATGACATTTGAACATTACTATTCCTAAGTCATGGTACACTGTCATCAGGATGTTTTTCAACCTGGTTTTTTTTGGGGTTTTTTTTTTTTTTTGGTTGTTTGTTTTTCTCTCCTGGCTCCAATCCTTAAAAAAAAGCTCACCTTTTGATGAAAAGGAGGTATGGGCATTATGGATGTTGAAGAGATCACTGCCCAGAAGATTGTGCGGTGGGGGAAACAGGGCATATTAGCATATTAGGAACACAGGGGACCTACTGAGCATGTCATATTTAGAGCCCCCAGGGGAAAGCTACATTCAAAGACACAGTAAGCTATAAGTTTGGATTCAAAACATAAGATAGTTTTATTAGACTCACACCCACCATGTTAATCCTTTCATTGCTCCAAGGAATGGAGTTTCTTTTTTTGTTGTTGTTGAGACAGAGTCTCACTCTGTTGCCTGGGCTGGAGTGCAATGGCACTATCTCGGCTCACTGCAACCTCCACCTCCTGAGTTCAAGTGATTCTCCTGCCTCAGCCTCCCAAGGAGCTGTGATTATCAGTATCTGTCACCATGCCTGGCTAATTTTTTATATTTTTAGTGGAGACAAGGTTTAACTATGTTGGCCCGGCTGGTCTC